TAATTTCCCCATTCAAGATTTTAAAAATAAAAGATGGCCATTGATTACACTCCAGACTGAACTACTACTCTGTTTTACCTCCGTTGACCATATTGCATTTCTAGTCGCTCTCTTCTCAGAACACTTTGTTTTCTGTTTATTCGCAGAATACCCTAATGTTCATAGAAGAGTTTCAACAACTTTTCAGCAGTTTTTCTACGGTTCCTCCCGAGGTCAATGAATCATCAAGTAACAGCAGCACGATGCATTTGGCCTCAGCCTCGTCCACACATGATCGCACCCCCTGTCCAAGTTATTCGGCTACTCCCTCCGACTCGAGCAAACCCGCCGAAGCGGGTCACAGTACGTCCGTTATCAGCCAACAAATCCCATTCACAGTACCAGACGGACCAGAAGATATCCATTTTATTGATGGAAGACAAGCCACCGCTGAACGTCCAACTGTTTTCATCCGGTACGTGTGTCACCCCTCGCGTTTGTTAGTTCACAGCGAACTAAAATTCACAAAGACATACACTGACACCTCTTTTCTGTTGCCAATGCATTTGACTGCACCACGCGAGTACTCATCACCTTGGGGTTGTGGATACCCGATTCGCTCCTCTAATTGAATTCTTCTGAACACTCCTTGTGGATTAGATGTTTCGTAATTCAACGAACTTAGCACAAAGGTGACATTTTTGGCGATGGCTGGTGTTTGTATTACTGGAGCTGGATTTACCTAGAAGCGCATTCAGTACACTCTCGATAAGTGGTTAAGGTCACCAAATTATCGCCCCGGAATACGTGTGTTCGAATCCCATCAACACCACCTCCTAACTTTCCCCATTCGCTGTATGATGTATGACATCCCTTTGACTGGCCACTTCCGTCTGCTGAAAAATTGTATCATCATGCATTGAATCAAAGGAAGTAAAGAAAAAGATACAAGAGTATAGGTAATCTTCACAGTAATGTGGTACTGCGTACCACTTGGCTTTTTCTCCTAGTATATACCGTTAGCTCCCAAACGAAAAAGGGTACTTGGTTTACAATAATGACGTTTTGTTAGACTGAATTCACGCATTTTAATCTGCTTTCTACAGATATCTGTGGCTTTCTGACACAGACCGCTTGTCAGGCAATTAATCGCCACTTCTTCATATATCTCCGCGACTGTTTATTTGTTCAAGCATTGCGCATGTTGATCACCTAAGTGGCCGTTCCCCTCCGCGACCTGGAGACGAATCCAGCAGCGTAGAATTCCACTGGAAATTTACTACGCTTTCTTTTCCTGTTACCGGGACCTTCGTTTGAACGGGCTAGAGTAAAAATTGGTTCCTGGTAAATGGCTGTTCCAAATGGTAATCACCTTCTACCCTAATGAGCTTGTGTTCAGTAGAGTAATCTGCTTCGAAACCCAATCAGACCGACTACGAAGGCCTTACACCATTTGGTTGCACGAACAGGCAACAGTCACTTGTAATAGTGTCGTTGACACGTAGGATTGCCATCATTTTTTTCGTTGTTGCTTTCACTTGATCAGGCGACAAATGTGACCAAGGTCACCTTCTAGTCAGGAACATTGTGCTTTTTACACAAACTGTTAAATTCACACATGGTTGCATGTAAAGTTTAGAGAAAATCATCGCCATATTTTTGCGGACTTATTTTTACATGATAGAAAAACAATAGACGTCAAGGCTTTCACAGTGAACAATGCCTACATTGCAAATGCCAGGACACTAATCGAATCGATTTGATTAAACTGCATGTAGTGAGGGTCTCAGTTGCAGCACTTTCTGGTGTCACATCGAGTACGTTACTGGTGAAACAGGCAGACCGATTTGTTCTAGTCTAGTTCTTTTAGCCGTCTTTTTTGTTCCTTTCACCCTAGACCATTTGAAGAAGCATGCGATAGTGTTGATCTTCCCCCACCGTGTTGTTCGCCTGTTTTGAGGATCTTTGGTTCACTTGAGCTTAGAATGATTCTGTTTTTTTAACATACATATTTGCGCAACACACATTGTTTGATTGCGACGACTCGACCGAGTCAGAACCATTTATCTTACAAAATAATGGATGATTGCAGTTGAACACTGAAATTGTGCAGCAAACTGATCTTCGCTATCTATTATCCTGTTTTAGGAAAGTAACTTTCTATCCGGATCTGCCTATCCGACTAGACTATCACGGACGACATTTTGATTTTACTTCGGTGAGCTGATCTGTTCAAGTTAAATATCGTTACGAAGTGATTTTTCTTTGCGGAGTCAGCACCATTTTGTATTATTACCTTCATTATATCCCTGCGCGGGTTGATGGGTTGATCTCTGCAAAAAATCTTCCTGCCATGCTATGGGAAGCTGTATCGTTTGGTGCAATATACTGCAATGAATTGAATTAGGGGGCGGGTTTCTGTCCCGAATTCACATCTTCGAACCTCGGATTTACATCAATTTTGCAACCTGGCGTAAGCAATCGCAACGATCGAAAGCTCTGAAAGCTTTTGAACGTCCCGAACGCGTAGGGTCCAGACATTATAATCGTAAAACAGAACATTTCCGATTGTGGTTTTGTATACTCTTTCGTTGAGATAGAATCTCGAGGTTGAATGTTTTCTAA